GAGAAACACATAATTCAGATATTCCCAACACCAAGACACAAATTTGGGGGCATATAATTTGTTCTGTACTTGGGAATACTTGATATTCGCCCATGCCTGGGTGAATTTATTGGAAGGGGAAGGGAGATTAAAGACAAGAAGTGCTTCAGTTGAGAAGATCCTGCTCAACATTGCCAGCTGGTTCAGAAGGTGGGGACACTCCGAGCAGACCCATTGAAGATCTCAGTAGTGAGTGTCCCATCTCCCCTTGATTCTTTCTTGTCCCAGGCCTTTCCATTCCCATTTGATGTACCTGCAGTGAACCAGAACTGGCCCATTATCCTTCATTTTATCTAAGTGCTCCCTGACAAGATCTCGAAAATGAAGAATGGTGTCTGTGGTTTGGGGCACTCCATGATCTGGCCATGATGTGTAGTGATAATGTCTAGCACGACGGACTTCAGACATGCTCATCTGTTGAGAAACACATAATTCAGATATTCCCAACACCAAGACACAAATTTGGGGGCATATAATTTGGTCTGTACTTGGGGATACCATGCCTACTTCCCCTTCTTTTCCCCTGTATCTTATCCTTCATTTTATCTAAGTGCTCCCTGACAAGATCTCGAAAATGAAGAATGGTGTCTGTGGTTTGGGGCACTCCATGATCTGGCCATGATGTGTAGTGATAATGTCTAGCACGACGGACTTCAGACATGCTCATCTGTTGAGAAACACATAATTCAGATATTCCCAACACCAAGACACAAATTTGGGGGCATATAATTTGGTCTGTACTTGGGGATACCATGCCTACTTCCCCTTCTTTTCCCCTGTATCCCTTTTTGAGTCCCTTAGAGTGTACTTGCTATTAAAGGGAATGATGCATTTTTCCTTGTGATGGCTATGTGGAAGTCACTTTAAAAGTGATTGATCCATGTAGCAGCTGTTATTGTATTTTAAGCTCAGAAGGAGAAGGTAACCTCAATTCTCAATTGCTCACCCGCTTGATACTAAAGTCCCGGATGGTCCAATCAGGGAAAATGGTTTCTGTGATAACAGATACAGTAATATCATCATAGGTGCAGGGTGTGTAGTCCAAGGGCCAGTAGCGTTCACATTTCACCTGGCCAACAGAAAATTTGGAATACAGGACATTTAATAGAATTTGTAGCGCTGGGATCAAGTGGTACAGTTATTAGATGTCTCTCAAGTTTTGATTGTGCAATAACAAGTCAAAACCCTTTAAAACCCAGCATTACAGCACCTGCTGTTCAAGGGCATCCTTGATGCTGAAACAAAGGACCATTCTCACCCGTCCATTCTCAATGCAGTTGGTGAGCATGACTATGGTTGTGATGTGCTGCTCCCATATCATGCGCCAGAAGTCATAGAGTGTGGCAAGCAATGGACCTTGGGCTGCGATGAACTCCTTTTCCTTCCTGTAACCCTTGGGGAGAGAGAGATGTGTTATATAAATATATATGTACATATTTGCAAAAATGTTTGTTCATTTTTAAAATTATTTTTAGCCTTTCTGAAACTGTTGTGTATTATGCTCAAGGTCACCTTGTACAAAACAAAGCAGCGCCCGAGAATCAGGAGATGTCAACTGCACAACTGTTTTAGAAAGGCACAGTGATGCCTCCTTATGGTCCTGCACTTGGATTGAAATCTCATTACTTCCCATTAAGTAATTAAGAGTACATAGGCTTCCAGACTAATAGATCCCAAAGAGTAGAACACAATTTAGAGACGGCCATCTACAGAAGCTTGCCTGTCTAAAAGCAAGCAGTTCAGTGTGAGGTGCTCATTTACAATTACTGCCCTGCAGTAAGATGGGCAAAGTGGTCTTTGTTAAGTGAAGATGAAAGGTTTGGGGGAAAAAAATAGAGCCCGAATTACATTACAAATCCAAGGCCAAGCATATATTGCATCAAACTGAAATAACAAATCCAGTTAGCGGCATCAATGATGGAGGAGTGCACAAAAGTGGGGAGAGGCATCTATTTTCAGGCGGAGGACCATACTTGGTCCTTGGGCAGCCAGGCTGCACTCCAAAAGATAGGTGCATCAAGAAATAACTGGATCCAGGACATCTACATTTGTTATCATCAGCATTATATGATCAATTATAGTTAATGTGATTATGGTCCATGTATCTAATATTTTCCCTTTCTGTCACACTAAAAATGGCAATTACTAGCAACTACGAAAGGCTTCTGGGTATAACATCCAATACCAGGGTTCTACATTGTGCATCTTTGCATTTAGGGTTGATTTTGAGTGCTTTGAATGTGTTCCAGCAGGAGTAACTCAGGACTCCAAGCTGGCTTCAATCTACTTCTTCAGCACACTTAGCCAACATTAACATCTCATCCCAAAAAGGCAATAGTGAAGACATACAGGCATGTAGCTGGCATTGATGTAATCTGAGTTGGGATCTTCTTGCTTGAGGGTGAGTTGGACTCGTGCGTTGTCATCTGTAGAGAAGGAACCAAAAATGGCACTTGGGAGAGCAAATGAATAGCATGGAAGATAAGAAACACATCAGATCTCAATCTTCCTGGTTGAAATCCAGCACTGTCTCCATTATATTACACTGGCCTAGAATTCTAGATAAGGATCAATGACTCTCAAGCACTAATGTAGAGCATTAAAATCGCCTCTGTGGAATGGTGACTGCTGAGTTGCACCAAAAACAATTAGACCTGAATCAGATGTCCACAGTGAGATGTTCAAAATTCAAGCAGGCTTTTTTAGATTAAGTATAATAGGGGTGAATTTCAAGAAAGAAAAGACAGGGAAAGCTTGCCAAACACAGCTTTTGGAATTCTTTCCAATTCCTTTACCACCACTGGCTGTAAGAGGCACCTGTATTTTCTTATGTGTAATAAAACAACATGCCATCTATGTGTGTATGTGTCAGAGATGTCTACAGGATGGGGGAAGGGGGTCAAAACTATCAGGACGGTGGGAATGGCTTTGATCACACAGCCACCATCTTGACTTTTTGATCCTTTTGCCTCTGGAGTATGTTGTGTTTCTGCCTTCTCCCCATGTTGTATGTGTGTGTTTGTGTATTTGTGTAGTATATCAGTGCACAGGGAAGCACAGGGCAGATTGCATACGTCCCATTCTGGGTCCTCTGAACAGGAGGGAGGAGGGCTTAGAATGGAACCATTCATTCATTCATTCATTCATTCATTCATTCATTCATTCATTCATTCATTCATTCATTCATTCATTCATTCATTCATTCATTCATTCATTCATTCATTCATTCATTCATTCATTCATTCATTCATTCATTCATTCATTCATTCATTCATTCATTCATTCATTCATTCGATTTGATGCCACCTGACTTCAAATTACTCTGAGCAGCTCACAATTCACAGTTCAAGATGTTGCCCACTGTATCTCCCACAGCAATGCTTTGAGGGCATTCCCCCCCCCCCGCCCTCCCCCCAGCCCTTGGCCTCCTCTAGCCCATTTTTAAACTCAATCCTACTTTTGCTGACTTCATCCTTCAGCCCAGATTGGGTCTTATTCTGTTCATTTTCCTGCAGATGGACAGATAGAGCCACTTCCAATGGGTTCATTCCGATGGGTTGGAAAGAATAAAATAATAAAAAGGGTCGTGAGGTAAAGGAATGGAACTTACATGGCAGAACGTTGCTATAGCGATTCTTAGCTTGATTTTCATGCCACTGGGCTACACTCTGGAGCTGATCTCTCCCTGTGTCCTGTAGTTGCTATTATGTAGGTAAGGCAAGAAGAAACATTGACTCATTTAAGCAGGGCATGGAGTGCTTAAAAAATAAAACAAAAAGCAAATTGGGAAAACGAGCTGTCGAGCAAGAGTGTTACAATGTTGGAAATCATCTTCCTTTCCATGCCTTTGCTATTTATTCTCCCCAACTTTTTTCCAACGTGCGTGCTTTGAATAAGTCCCACCAAGTCCATTGAGACTTTATGCCAACAGGATGAGGATAGACATCTCCCCTACCAGTCGCTCTGCGGTTGTGTTAGGCTACAAATCTCATCATCCTCAGCCATCATGTCTTGGGATTGACACTCACACCAATTGTTGAAGATGCAGAGATTTATTAAAAATCCAAGAGTTCCAAGGGCAAAAGAGTTTTTTTTTAAACCATCCACAGCAGCTCCTTTTCTTCACATCCTATGTCAAAGTAGTTGTCTTCTCCATGTTTTTTGTCCGCTGAAGTCAATGATTCCATACATGAGAGTTGGTGGAGAAACACAAAATACTGAAACTTGATTTCCTTGAATGAAATTCTGAACCATGCTTTGATTGGACCCACTTCAGGTGTGGAACTGGACAATTCCATTCCTCTTGTTTCCATTGTTTCAATTCTCTTCCCAATTCCATTGTTTCCATCCCCCCCAGTGCCCCACCCCAAAAGGGCCTTATGGATCTTATAACCTGTTTAGTGAAGCTAGACTGGTACTCTTAATTAACATCTGGGAATCCATCATTCATACCAAGCAAAGTTTTGCCTGGTGGCTTTCAAGCTCCAGATAAACCATGCATTTCAGCAGATATGGGGAAAAGGTTATACAAGAATTCAACACAATACTGTGGATTCTGAGGACCGCTGAGCTGTGATGCTGTTGCCACATCTTCCCCATGGCACCCACAAGATGAGTGGGCCTAAACTGCCAGAAATCCCAGTAAACATAGCCATTGCTGAGAATTGTGGAAGTCCTTAAATTTGAAGGGTGCTGGGGAAAATGTATAGTTATAGTCTTTACAGTGAGATGGCAAATGGGCATTTTCTCCGGGGTGGGTGAGAAAATCTGTTGCTTAGTGTTTGTTTATTTAAAATGTGCCTCTCTGAAGTTTCCTAGAGCCAATTTTTTTTTAAAAATCAGCTATTATGTCAGAATTTTTAACAGCTGTCAAAAAATGAAAAATGATTCCTTTCCAAACATAATTCTCACAGAGTTCTCTTTAGCAAGATTTATTGAGTTGAATAGTATGGGGTTACCAAAATTCCAGCAATTGGAATTGCTGATAATGGGGACATTTACAATGGGTTGCTTATATTACAAACTCCTGAGTCTTTATCAGTTTGGAAACTAACTCTTATACATCAGCAAGAAAAGAGATGGCTAACAAATGGAAGAAAACTGAGGATACATTAATATAAAAAGCTGAATATTATATGAGGTATTTGAAATGTGGGATACTCATTTTTAACACGCATATTTAATAAGGTATCAAGTGAGAAAGGATCAATAAGTTTAAAGCTTACTATGAAAATTGGTGTTTACTTGTTCATTTCTGCAAAGCATGCCTCATATCCAATTGAACCAACTGGAAATTCAAGCTTTGCAGAAATAAAGTTGAAAATCACAATAATTTCTAAGAACAGTGGAGTGTGGTGGTTGCAAGTTAATTTAAGAAGTATCAACAGCTCAGGTGCTAACACTTGATTTGCCTACTCTATATGCATAACTGATGTTTGTGCTGTTTGGAACAATGTATTTATAGATATTTCACAAAGATGTGAAGGCAAACAAGAAATATCTGTAAGCCACCCCTCCCTCCAAGGAAAACAGATTCCATGTCTAATCAAGGAATGCTCCCAACAGGGAAAATATAAGACAAAACTTCTATGTCATATACTAGATCATATTGTGCTAGCTCTTCTCATCTTGGCCCCTCTTAGCATTTCTCAGGACTAGAGATTCCCAAAATCCATAGTCATTCTTCTTGGGAATTCTAGGAGTTGCAGACCTTATCCTCTTGGGGAATGCCAGGTTAATAGTGTGCCAGTCAGCAATTTTTTTGCCATTGCCTTAAGGGGAAACATAGAAAACTAAATCTATTATTCCGTGACCTGACGTATGGAACAATGAAGGACAAGCTTTGACCTTCTTCTGTAGGACATCATTGTGGGTATTTGAAGAAAGTTGTCAGAGGCCCTGTTCCAGTTTCTGTGATTCCTTCTTAAAGCGTGGAGCCCAGAACTGGGCACAATATGCAAAGTGGAGTCTAACCCATGCAGAATATACTGGAACATACAATCCTCTTGATACAGAGATCTTGCACATTCATGCAGAATAAAACAATGATAATCTGAGATGGAAAAAGGAGGGACCACCCTTCGGGCAACATTTTCACTGAAGGGAGAACTATCACCATGACATGACATTCTCTTTTTCTTTCCTTATAGAATATGCAAAATGTCAGGGCAAGAAGTAAAATACACAAAGTTAAAGTTAAAGTTAAGTTAAAAGAAAAAGAGCAAATGGCAGGGGAAAAAAATCTCTAAAGGTAAACATCACTGATTCAATGTCAGTGCACTTTATTTTTCTGATGTTTTGCAATAACAAACTCGGCAGCTAGCAACAGGAACTGAATCAATTTCTTATCTTGCATCCATTTATATGCATTAGGAAACATGGACAGCAGCATTCATTGTGGAAATCTGTTGGATGGTTTCCCATTTTCTCCAAAAATATTTGGCCAAAAGGAATGCCTAATCCATTGAAACTCCTGTGGACATTCATAAAGATTACCCATAGTACAAGGAGAAGGCTCAGTGGGGCAAAATCCTTGTTTCCCAGAATGCTTTGTCTTGGGACAAACCAACAGCCCATTAGCCTCTGACTGTCAGTGTTGGGTATACTGGCTTTTTGGGAGCTGCGGGCAGAGATGTTTTTGAGCTCTGCCTAGAGAAAGGGGATTTGATGATGGATTCTTCTCTATGTAAATCATGTGTTTCTCTACTGAACTATGAACCGTGCCCCCAACTTCATACCTGGTATTCCATGGCAAAGCCAAAGGCACTATCTGACAGCTGCTCATAGTAGTAACGTGGGAAAGCTGACACCGGCATTGCACCAAGGACTCTGTAGAAGTTAAAAAATAGAGAAATTGGGTCATTTCAATACCAAAGGGTGCATGCAGGTCAGGGGAAGTTATTCCAAGTATTCTGATGTGAATCCTTCAAGGTAGACCAGGCTAGGAAACCAATGACATGTAGGATGATACTACTTTTATTGTGAAGCTATAGTAACAGAATCTTGCAAGTCTGAATGTGCTTCCCCTCTCCCTCTCTTCTTTTATCTTCACGTGAACTAAGAAGGGGCTTGTCTGAGACATTTTCTCAAGTTTTTTTTCTTGGCCCAGGCTCAAGCCCCTCTTATCTGACTATTGCCTTGGTAGTGGCTCTTCTTCCTGTCTTTCAAGGCTATTCCCTCTTTCCTCTACATCTGGTCTACAGTACATCTCTCTCTCTCTCCCTTCCACTTCTAATCCTAGGGAGTGTTTGCCTTCAACACTGCTTGGCCTTAAACAAGATAATATAATGATTCTCTTCTAAAATCTTAAAATTTATTCTCACCCAGGCAATCCCACATCTGGTTTCTGCTCCTCCGAGGCATCTGTCCTTCTGAAAGCAAGGCAGGAAAATTGGAAGTGACACTTGGGCAGCATCTGTTGGTGCTCCCATCCTCATCCGTACAGGGAATGCCAAACAGGACACTGCTGAACTGAAGCTAGCAATGCCAAGACCCATTTCCAGGAACTCCAGAACTGAGCTGTCCATTAGCAGTGTGGTGTGACCTGTGCATTACTCAAACCTCCAAGATACCCATCTGATATCTATAACAACAGGCAGATACTTCATGCAGAGGCTACGTTAAGGCAGCCTTTCTCTAATCTAGGGCCCTGCAGATATGTTGGATCAATTCTCATAATATTCCGCCAGTCCTTGCTGTGGACAAAAGTCTAGTGCAAAGGATGCTTGCAATCTCAAACATGCTTACCTTGGTCTCCTGAAATAAAAGAGCAGGAAGCAAAGGATGACCAACAGAAGCAGCACCGCAGAGAGGGATCCAAGGAGAGCCACTGAACACAGAAAGAAAACATAGGATCTTTGGACAAACAGTTGGAGCCAAAAATGTGGGAAATGACTGGTACCCTCCAGATGGAATGGGCTTCTCCAGAAACAATTACTTCATTTAGTGTGGCCAAACTGCATGGTTAACATATAACTTGCATTGAGATATCCACTGAGACGTTCTTGGAGATCTCACCTGTAATATCGATGGAACACTCCACGGTGTCCGAGACTGCATATTGATTGTACCAAAAAGTTTTTATTTTAATTTGATAGATTTTGGCAGGTTTAAGCTCTTGAATCACCACTGATTCACTGCAATTCGGCTCATTTTTCCAGGCCTGATCTGACACGAGGACTACAAATGCACTGACAGCACTCGCTGGGCACGTCCAGGATAATTTCAAACTCCGGCCATCTTGCAAAGGGAGGCATTTCAAATCGGTTACACGTTCTGGTTCTGTACAAGCAGGAAAGAAAGAGGGTTAGGCAGGCTCCTTCTCACAACCCCACCAGCTCATTCTTTAGTCTACAGGGCTGTTCCCACCAGGCAAAATGAAGCAGCTACATTGAGTGGCAGATTAGGAAAATTGCCAAATAGGAGCCAAGCTCCCACCAGCTGCTGTTTTGATTAGAGCTACCACACTGGGGTTGCCATCTAGTAGTCCATATGACTACTAGATGGCAGTTAATGTGTCTCTGCTGCCAACGGGTGGGCATCTGGAGTTTCCAGCCAAGATCTGGTAGCCCTCCTCTTGATCAACCATATCAACCATGTGTTCTTGGGCTGCTCCTGGGTGTCCACTTCCCTTAAACATCTCTGCCCATTCTCCTGCTATATGCAAAGACCTAGCTCTCTGGGGAAGGCCATAATGCTGGGAAAGGCAGAAAGAAAGAGAAGAAGAGGACGACCAGCAGCAAGGTGGATGGGCTCAGTTATAGTGATGATGGATGTACCATTGGAAGACCTGAAAGACCAGGTTAGGGACAGATCGTCATGGCGAAAATCTATCTATGTCAGTGTTGTCCAAACCCGCCCACCTTTATTAGGGGGGACTTACCTACCCCAAAATACTCCCCCCAAACCGACATTTGGATGCCTGAACCCTTTAATGGG